CCTGTGACATAAACCACCCTTTTATATGCTTTCCCCACCTCTGCCTTCTTATGTAAATACATCTTTCTAAGGTAGACTTCAATATCCTTGAGTACAGGATAAGACTGATTCATCCTATGCTCTAGTGCCAGGCAAATAAATCATTCATTCATTAAATTAATAGACTTTTTATTGAGTGCCTATCATGCATTAGAACTGGGACTATAAGATGATAATTACTTCCACTTTCAAGGATTCAAGAGTTTAATTCAGGATACATGTAAGCAAAAAGGTAGAGTGACATGCAATGACTATGCTGATGGCATATTCCAGGTGTTGTGGAAGTGTAGTAAGGGGGTGTATAACTTGAACCAGAAGATGGAATACATGAGTGCCATTTTTAAGAACTAGTATCAAATCATGTTAATCATGTAAATGATATGTAGTAGTAGATGAGACATCATTTTTAATTGAGTGGTAGATTAGTTGAGAGGAAATAGAGAAAAATATATTAGGGCAAATGGATGGGATTCTAGGATAATATAGTTGCTGAAAAGTGACTACAAAAGAAAATCAAAGTAATAATATAAGCTGTAGCAAATATTATTAAGATGTATAATTAAAGGGGTTGGAGTGATAGCACAGCGGTAGGGCGTTTGCCTTGCACACAGCCAACATGGCCAACCCGAGTTCGATTCCTCCGCCCCCTCGGAGAGCCTGGCAAGCTACCGAGAGTATCTCGCCCGCATGGCAGAGCCTGGCAAGCTCCCCTTGACGTATTCGATATGCCAGACACAGTAACAACAAAGTCTCCAATGGAGACGTTACTGGGCCCGCTCGAGCAAATTGATGAACAACGGGAGGGCCTTTACCTTATGATTAAAAGGATTCAGACTTTCCACTAAAGTTGGATGCCTTTACCAGAAAATAAATCATATCTTAACATTAAATTATCCTAACTACTGAAAACAATGTGGAATCCACATATAAAATTAAAAATTATTAGATAAAGGAGCAAAGAGAAGCATATAGAATGGCCTAATTTATAATTATGTGTCCAAAATTCTAAATACAAACATCATATTTGATTCATTAATATTTCAGAAAACTATGACTGTGGCTAAGTAGGATGTTTTTTCTAGGAATGCAAAGACAGTTCAATATCTGGAAATCTGTCAGCATGTTTCATTATATTACTAAATTAATGGAGCAAAAAACAAGATGATTATATCAGTGGAAGTTAAGGAAGATTTCATAGTTTCTAGAAAGGCATGAGTAATTAAGGAAATCACCTTTTATTCGTTGACTCATTTGTTTATAATCCTTTTCCAAGGGCTTTTTTGTTAAGCATGTGATGATGTCATGAGATCATCCAGAAACTTCCAGCTTATTGACTCAGAGAAGTAAATAAAGACCTTCCATGTAAAGGGTATTGGAAGAAATTATCCATTTTTTTTGGTGGGTTAGAAATTATCCATTTTTGGGGGGTAAATCAGAAGGCATGGACACTTACCCAGTGGACCTTGGGACAGTTGGACCAGTCCTGGTGGAACCCAGCAATGAAGGCCCAGTAGCTTCTCCCCAGGAAGACTTCCTGTTGCTAGGTATTAAACTCGGGGTCTTATGCTTCTAGGCATGCACTCCAGTCCTTTGAACTCTTCCTGTCAAAAGCTACTCTTTTCAATGGGAGCTAAGGAAGTATCTTAGAGTATCAGATACATTTATTCTAGTCCAGGGGGAAAATCGGGCTTAGCTAATAGTGAAGAGAGGTAACTGGATGTGACCAGAGCAGAAGCAAGAGTTCAGGGCCATGGACGTTCATTTTAAGTTCTCAAAGTGCTGTCACCATTGACCCTCAGAAAAAAAATGGAAGAGAAGAAGATAGTTATCTGCAAACATTTACTAGGACAATCTATTTCTCATGTGTGGGAGCAGAGAAGTTGCCTCAAAGCGGAGGGCAGTGTGTGGTACTTTATGATGCTAGGGGTAATGAAAATGATGATAGAATCAATGCTTTGTTTTTTTTTTCAATTTATTGAATCACCATGCAATACACAGTTGCAAAGTTGTTCAGGATTTGGTTTCAGTCAAACAATGTTCCAACACCCTCCCTTTTGCCAGTGTGCGTTTTCTACTACCAGTGTCCCCAGTTTCCTTCCTGGCATCCCTTTGTTATTGATAGGGGAATTAAAAAAAATTTTTTTTTGTTCTTCCATCAGTTGCTCTTCTTTTCTCTCTGTGGCATATCTTAGAAGCTTAGAATTCTAGAATCAATTGGCAGTGTGGGATAGCTCTGGAAATGTGTGCCTTTGCTCTAAAAATCACTTCAGGCTATATTAAACTGTTTTTAAATAACTTTAAAAACTTATTCGACTTCAGAATAACTTCAGATTCACAGGAAAGTTGGAAAGATAATATTAACCATTTAAATGTGTAAATATGATTTACTCTACAAATGTTCCTACTGCATTTAAATTTCCAAACTTCTATTTTATCTCTTTGTGCTTCTCAGTTTAATTAGAAGAAACACCTTTATCCCACTTTAGTGGGAAGCTTGGACACTAAAAAATCCAAATTATTGTTTTTGAGTTTTGAGAGATGGGTTTGATTTATATGTGTGTATTATAAATCTCAAAAGATTCTTAATGTGCAGTTAAGATTTAAGAGTCAGAAACAAATCAAACATTCTTCATAACTGATTTTTATGTCAAGCCTTGGTGGGGCTATAAGGTGGGGGTCAGGGTGTGCAAAACATAGTCCTGGCCATTTCTAAGACCTCACCACTTAGGATGTTGATAGACAAATTCCCCATGCCAAGAGTAATTCCTAAGTTCAGCTATACAAATCCTATTCTCCAATTGGGGTAGGTATTGGGAAAGAGGGGTCCTCCAACCAGATTGAAAAGTCACTGGCCTCACAGACTATACTAACAGAAGCTTCCTGATTCTCAAAGTCCCTCTCCTCCATTCATGTGTACACTTTCACTGAGGAAAATACACCTCAACATTCCATCACTTTGTGTAACACTTCACAGTTTATGACACACTGATAAGATCTCATTGGTTGTGATAAAAACTTTGTTATTTAAGGTGGACAGGGCTTTATCTTCATTTGGAGGGGGTTGAGGTTGCCTGGAATACAGAAGATGGGGGATGCTCAAGGTCATGTCACTCATCCTGTTAAGACCTGGTGTCGCCTAGGCTAGCCTCTGTCCTCTCCTGTTCTTCCCAAATTTTCCTCTTCATGTTTTCTCTTCATGGCTATGCAACATGCTGAGGCCTTTGTTTTCTTTCGCATTTCCAAGGCTCTGTCTTTACAAACATCTGGAAGTAATCACAATAATTAATTCAGTTCAATTAATAAATTTCTCTGTGCATTTGGGGCTGGGAATGGGTACAGGGTACCTTCCAGCCCTTCCTTGGCTGTAGAGCTCTTGTAACCAGGTTAGAGAACCCTCCACATACAGCAATAGGCTCTGAGGCTTAGACCCTGCCTGCAGTCTTCCCAGAGGGTTGCTGTCTTCCCCAAACAGAGTGTACTGTGATTTGATTAGACTGCATTTTCCTCCTCCTTGTTTAGATACCTTTTTGATCTTTATCAAAAAGAGGACCTCAGTTCTTCATAGCTCCTGTTTGGTTGTTCCTTTGGCATTTGAGGCTGACTTATGCAGTGCAGGTGTTGTAATTGTTGACCACTAAATATTAACCATTGTCCTAGGCATTGTGACAAAAAAAAAATTGTCCCTCCCGATTTCCAGGTGTCTCTTCAGTGAGGAATAGGACTGCTTGTGACAGAGAGACTCTAAAGCACCTGCCCATACACCTGGATGTGCCCTTGTTTCAGAAATAAACTTTTAATGGATCTTTAACATGAAGCAAATACATTCAAACCCCACAAGCTTGCAAGAAAGGTTGCCTGTGCTTCAGAGCCATGCTACATTTCAGTTCTCTGCTAGGTACCCCTCCTCTCTTCCCCTTCAGCAACACTGAACATAAGTGCTGTGTACTTTTCTGCCTCTTCAACTTTGCTCAAGTTGCTTGGACCTGACCTCTACTCAGCTCTCGAGACTCCTCCACAGGGACTAGAGCGATAGCATAGTGGGTAGAGCATTTGCCTTGCACATGACTGACTGACCCGGGTTTGATCCCCAGCATGCCATATGGTCCCCCGAGCACCGCCAGGAGTAATTCCTGACAGCGGAGCCAGGAGTAACTCCTGTGCATCGCCTGGTGTGACCCGAAAAAAGAAAAAAAAGGACTCCTCCACAGCTCTTCTCATCAGTGAGGGCTTTTTTGTTGTTGTTGTTGTTTTTTAAATTTAATTTTGTTTTTATAAAGTTGTTCAAATAATTTATTATATTAAATGTGCAAACACCAATCCCATCACCATAAGAAGAAAATGTGTGAAGATCATTGTATTTCTTCCTGGAAACATTAAGCCCTTTTATGAGATTATAAACATGTATGTTAAACCCAAACAAATGTGTGTTACTCTTGTACATCAGTGGGGTAGAGTACGAGAAGTCACCTGGCCACATTTACACTCTAAGAATTCTGATTTAGAGTAGATTCACTCATGGGCAAGTCCTATGTTTTGATCTCTGCAAGAGATTATCTTATCTTACTATATATTCCAGAAACACCTTTCTTTACCCTCACTGATTTAACTTATCACCTTATCTAGGTAATTGGTGTGCAGTTATTTTAATCCATGAGCTATAAAACTGAAGCTGTTTTCCAATATTACTGGCAAGGATTATTTTACAAATGTTAGACACCATTTATTATTCATATCTATTTCTTGAAGAATGATAAGAACTAAATTAAGTAACTGTTAGAAGAAAGATGTTCAAGATTAATTGGGAATATTCAATTTTCCCCTCCCTTTTCTTCTTTCATTTTTCCCCCTCAGAGAGCTTTTTCAAGGCCTCTGTAATATGCAATAAGATAAAATAATTTAGTGAGGTATAATAGTCCCATTTTCATGCTTTTTAAAAACAAGCTTTTTAAATTTTATTTTAGATTGAAACAATGTCTTACCCATCTTGGCTGCCACCCAAAAGCACTGGTGAGCCCCTTGGACATGTGCCTGCACGGATGGAGACCACCCATTCCTTTGGGACTCCCAGTATTTCAGTGTCTACACAACAGCCACCCAAGAAGTTCGCACCAGTAGTTGCTCCAAAGCCTAAGTACAACCCATATAAGCAACCTGGAGCAGAAGGTAAGTGTGGGCATATCATTATTTTCTTGTGAGAGTTCAGTATAATAAAGGTGATTTATATTTCAATGTTGTGTCTCAAAAAAATAATCTAAGAATTCTTTGTGTTAGGTTTGAGGAGGGATTCCGTGCCAGGTTATTTTCACTATGGGCACCCTAGAAGGGGGCGGATGAAAGCCTTCCCTGCCCCAAGGGACCCAGCTCCGGCAGCCTACCTCCACTACTCAAGTGCCACCACACTCCAGGCTGCTTTCCGGACATATCATAAGACATTTATTACCCATTTTCTGTAATTACCACCCCATGTTTGATGGAGTTCAGACATTAGGCAACAAATTATAGAGAAATGTATATCTATAGCTATCTATCTATCTATCTATCTATCTATCTATCTATCTATCTCGGAGAGTATCCCGCCCACATGGGTAGATTCTAGCAAGCTCCCTGTGGTGTATTCGATATGCCAAAACCACTAATGATAACAGGTCTCATTCTCTTGATCCTGAAAGAGCTTCCAATTATTGGAAAGACGAGTAAGAAGAGGCTGCTAAAAATCTCAAGGATGGGATGATGTTACTGGTGCCCACTTGAGTAAATCAATGGACAAGATGACAGTGACAGTGACAGGTTGGGGGAGATAGCTCCAAGTGCTTAGGGCATACTTTGCTTATAGAATACCTGGGTTCTGTACATAACACACCCTACTCACAGTTTACTAGGAGCAACCTCTGAGGATTGAGCATTTCTTCATGTGGCCGACCCCCAACCACACAAGCATTGTAGTGTTGTTGTCATTATTCACAGACTATCAGAGGTTTGAAGAACATCTTGAATCCCTCACAAGTTTTCTCAACTACTTTGATACTGCCTCTCAGGGCAGTAAGAGAATATAGTAGGCTAGTGGCAGTGTTGGGTGCCTCTGGTGGTGGTTTGTTTATTTGATAAAATAAGATAAATTTATGAAAGGAATATGTTAGACCCGATTAGTTTGGGAACCTCTGATGGTTAACCCTTCATTTCGGCGAAAAACAGATTAAGACACCTTATAAGGCATAGGGCATCTGACTACATTGTGGGCTAAGGCAAAACCAAAATAAGATCTCTGATACCTTCATTCATAGCTCAGTACTCTTCTATTTTATTACCCTCCACTCACATTCTATTATTTCATAGAGACATAAGTGCAGTCTTGAAGGGCCTAAAGACATTTTTCTGAGTCTGGGCCATATTTAAGCCAGTGGGTCCAATACTATGTAGCCCAGCTGTATCATGGAATCTAGGTTTCACATAATTGCATTCGTTCATACAGCACTAGTCATTTAACACCAAGAAAGCCTAACAATATATTTTTCATAACATAGCCCTGTTGTCAAGTGTTATATCACCCAATCATCTTTCTATTACCATTGGACTAGTCTTCCAAGATTCTGCCAAGTAGTGTATATTGAGAAAGCCACAGAAAGTGAACCTAATGATGCACATGAAATTATTTTGCTTTGGGGAACTATTTTTCCTCCCCCAGGCTACTGTAGGATAAACTTATCTAAAGAGCTCTGTGAGAGCTGCATCTATTGAAACTCCCAGGCTATTGTGAGTGAAGCCTGAGGTGTAGTGACATCAACTAAAGTATATTTAGTTTACAAGAAGAGGAATTTGAAGGCTTTTATGGGCTCAGCACTTCATCTCAGGTGTGTGTTCGTCTGCACTCACTCCTGTTCCTCAGTCACCGTAGAGCTTGCCAAGCTCTTTTTTTTTTTTAATTTTTATTAGTGAAACACCATGAGGTACAGTTGTAGACTTACAAATTTTTGTGTTTGGGTTTCAGTTATACAATGATCAAGTAACCATCCCTCCACCAGTGCCCATTTTCCACCACCACGGGTCCCAGTATCCCTCCCACCCCCCTTCTCATCCTGACTCTGTGGCAGGACATTCCCTTTTGTTCTCTCTCTCCTTTTGGGTGTTGTGGTTTTGTCAAGCTCTTTGGTTCTTTCTTTTTACCAACTAATGATGGTAACTCACTGAAACCCATGACAAACCTAACGAACAGACCTAATAAACAGAGCACTTGTATTCTGGAAACGGAGAGGGAAGAGATAGTAAAAGGGAATTCAGCATCTAAGTCTTGATTTTTCTCTCTCTGTCCTACTTTCACCGAATTACTTTCCATATCCATGAATGCTTCTTAGAGAATGTGAGCATGTTTGTTTTAGCAATTTTGCATAGTACTGATTCACACTTTGGTATAACTCTGTCTTCTCTTTTATTTTGGGTCCTTTTTCTCTCATTAAAAACTTAGCTGGTGTCAGGATTTTAAGCATATAGTCTGAAACATAGTCAGATGTCTAACTTGTGTAAGGTGGTCGGACACTTAGGCACAAGAGAGGATGGGCAGAAATCTTCAAACACTCCTGGTTCATGGTTGTAGGCCTTTGTGTATCATTTCTCCAGAGAAAGTAACTAGAAAACCATCCAAAAGCCAATTTGGAAGGGACTGGAGTGAAGTCTTTGATGTTTTCCTGATCTCCGTGGTCATGTCTTGTATTTTATTGCCCCAAACTAAGCTGCACTTTGATATTATTGAAGATTGAGTGGAACCGTATACCGCTATGCCCCCCCTCCCCTCAGTGTTCATTAGTGATTTTAGGAATGAGGAATGATATCTGGAAGGAAAAGAAAAATACAAAATAAACTTTCTTTCAAAAAATGGGAGACATATTGTTGACTTCATTATTTGTTTTCTCAAGTGTTATCCTTTATCTCTAACTAATGGAATTGTTTTTGTGTTTCATAACATTTGAGAAATGCTTAAACTTGTGTTTACTACCTTTCCACTAATATAAGGGTTGATTAAAGACAAGTTCACATATGGAGGGAACTTCTGTGAGGACATCTTAGTAGAGATGAAAGTTGATACAAACCCGAAGGGCCAGATGGAGGCAGTTTCTGTATTAATTCAATTAATAGAATAGCTTAACCAATGGCACATTTTAGTCAGAGTAAAAAGACATATCAAGTCTACCTTCAGACCTCTGCACTCCTCTGTGAATTACCAAGTATTAGCCCGTTAAAAAAATATTTAAAAAACTGTGGTTAACAAAGGTATTGATAGCTGAATTGTAGGTATATCATGTTCTAGCACTGCTCATCCTACCAGTTTCAATTTCCCTCCACCAATGTTTCCATGTTTCCTCCAGCACCCTACTCACTCCCTTACTCCAGTCTATCACCTTTACAAGCACAGTATAAAGTTTGGTGGAATTTAGTTCAGGTCTCGTATTTTCACTGTTGTTGTCTGTGTTATGCATTGGATGGTTATCCTCACTCTGAGAAATCTGCCTTCAGATAATTTTACCTTACCTACTGTCTGTTTTTTTTTTTTTTGGTTCCTGAAACTCTATCAGGATCTATAATATTTTTGTAGTATTTGTTCAGTTCTGCCACTTTTCTTAATATTATGCTACACCAATATGTCACCAGTCTATGTCACCAGTCTAAATCTGATGTCTGACATCTTCTCCAACTGTCTAGGCCAGGTTCAGATGAAAAGTAATTTTTATTTCTAACCTGGATTCCCCCACGTATCTTTTTCTATGATTTTCAGACTTCAACTTCTTTTGTAATTTTCCTGTTCTTATTTGGTCCCTACTGGACATATACTCTATGGAACACCGAACATTTACTTTTTGAATTGCATTGCTTTATCACAAACCCTGAAGTGCTTTCCACATAATAAAAACAAGGAAGATTATGGAATTGTCATATTCCCCATGACTTTGTGGTTCATACATTTCACGTGTGAGCCTTGTCCATGCACCCAATATGGCATACAACTTTCTCTCTATTTTATGGCATCTGGAGCTCTTAGTCCCCATATGAATCTGATATATTCTCCCTACTTTTATTTTTTTTTTGCTTTTTGGATCACGCCTGGTGATGCACAGGGGTTTCTCCTGGCTTAGCACTAAGAAATTACTCCTGGCGGTGCTCAGGGGACCATATGGGATGCTGGGAATCGAACCCACATCAGCTGCATGCAAGGCAAATGCCCTGCCCTCTGTACTATCGCTCCAGCCCCTCTCTGCATTTTCTTATAAGACTGTAAGCTTTGTATCCCCATTTATGTAATAAGACATAGTTTATCACTCATCCTTATGTTGGCTCTTATTTTGCTCTTGGCTCTTATTATGCTACTTTGTTTTTAGCTGCAATGGTTGTTTATTGTCAAATGTATGTCTGTATATTCTTAAATATATACATATACATATATATGCACATATACATGTATATATATTTGGATGGATGGCGGATGGCAGCATGGGTTAGTGAACTGCTCATTAATTCGTCTTGCAATAAACAGTCCAGAATATGGCATCCTCATATGAAGCAATCCAGTCTCATTTAGCTTCTGAAGTCTTGATTCTTTCTTGCAGTTCTGCCAATCTCTTTCTCTCTTTTTTTAATATAACCTTTTTTAAATATGCGAAAGAGAAATTTTCCTTGCATATATACATCTTAAAGACAAATACAGAGAAAAGTTCATGGGTTTCCAGACTTCTTAAAAAATGAAGCCATGTTTCTTTATCTGCTGTATATTATGATATGATATTTGTTGGAAATGTAAGATTTGCTTTTTTGTGTTTAATTTAAATGTTACTAAGTCTCTGTTATTCCTAACAATTTCCTTTATACATAATATACTTAAGTTTTGTTTAAAATGCTATGCCTTTTAAAAAGTTTATATCTATTTTCTTTTTCTATTTTGTCCATTTAGAACTGCCTATATAACTAGTGAAATATACCCAAATAATAGGTAATGCTTCTTTCTTCTTATTTATACATGAATTGATTATGCTAGGGTCTTTTCTTTAAGCATACATTATTCTTTACCTTTAGTTAAAATAACACTTTCCCTCAATTTGTAGACCATGAAGTCTTTTCATTCACAGCTTAATTGATCGTTTGACCTCTAAGAAGCTTAACTGAAAAGACAAAGCAAATAG